AAAACTGGAAATTCTTTTGGGGAGAAGAAATGGAAACATCTCATTTGGAATGAGGAAAGGGAAGTAGAGGAGACCACCCCATGGGAGGTATTGGCTCTGGATGAAGAGGTGGTGAGTTCTTGAAGTGACCTCCCAGCCCACCCTACAGGAGCATCAAATGAGATACTAGGTGTGAATGCACGTTGGAGGTTGTGATTTGCTGGACAAATGTGAACTATATTCTGCTCAGGAAGCTTAAAGACCTGTACTTTTTCATTCTTAAGCTTCTCTAATGATTTTCTACAAAGCACTAGCCATACAACAGGCTTTCAGTGAATAGTCATGAGTTGAGTGGATTCATTAGAGCACTAGTGGATCTGACAGGATATAAGGAAGCACATTTTAACTTTAAGAGAACAAGGCATGGGAATGGCATGTTCAGGAAGGCCATAGCCCCTCCCAGACAACTTTGAGAAAATAAGAAACAACTGTTTGTCCTAACTTAGACATCCATCTGCCTGGACCCAAGGCCTGGATGAGCAAGATGGCGACAAAACCATTACTGAAATGATGAAGCCAGAATCATGAGGACATGGGAACAGGGAACAGAGGCCAGCTGGGCCCCACCATCTGTGAGTTGAGCCTTTAGACCGAGTCTCGAGAAGGAAAGAAACGTGGGAGTCACCTGTGGCCATCTCCCCTAGAGCCTGGTTTTTCTTTCCCCTTGATTTCTCTGCCCTTTTTCATCATAGTCTAATAAAAGTCAGGCAATGTTATTTTTTGAAAATTGTTGAGAAGTCTTTACATTGAGAGAATATGACCTGAGGGGGATCATCCTTCTTTTCAGAGAGGATTTGGAGAAAAAGAAGTCAACAGCTAAGGGAAAGGAGTTAACTTGTGGGAACAGAGATTCCTATTGTCCCCCTCCATGTTTAGAGGATGAAAATGCAGGCAGGAACTGGACTGGAGGCCTCCTCACAGCTCCCAAAGCAAACGCTCCCGAGGTCAGAGCAGAGGCTTGCAGGGCCTACCGGAGAAGGGCGTGTGTGCCCACCTGCCGCATCCCAGGCAGCCACCTGGGCACCAAGGACAGTGATAGCGCCAAACCACGAGCCACGGGCCTGCTCCCTGGGCTTCCTGCTCCCATCTGGAATCAGTGTTTCTCATTTGGCTCCTAAGATCACACCAGTTCCCAGGTCCTCTGACTGGGATTGTGACAGATGAGTGCCCTCTAAGTGCAAAGAACTGAAACCTCCTTCCTCTGGGCTCTCCCTTCCTGTAAAGAAAGCTTCTCGGAAGCTTCTGAGGAGATGTCACGCCCGTTGGACTCAAGGAAGAGGCTGCTGGGAGCCATGCTGTACTGATTTAGTGCTCACTGCCAAAATTCCCTAGAAAGGCACGTTTACATCTTCATCTGCACATCAAGGTCTGAAATCCTTGCAGGGGAGTGGAAAATTGAGCAGGCCACTGAAGGTGGCCTTAGTATCTATACTAATTCCATGGTGTGGTTGGAACTCAAACTCTCTTTCTTGATAAGCACTTCAATGCCTTTGACAGCTAATGTGGGAGATTAGAAGTTCCCAGGCAGCTCTGGGGAAAAATGCAAATAGTTGGGTTTGCCTCTGCCGATTCAGCAGGTCTAAGATTAGTCCTGAGGTAGTTACAGTGCTTCTAATGGGTAGCCAGGTTTGGAACCGACTCCTAGGTAGTTCAGACAGGAGCTGGAAGGTCTGCTTTTGGGCAAATCCTCCCCTCCATTCTCAATTTTCCCAAAATTCAGGTGGGAAGAATTATTCTGAGGCTCTCATACCTTCTCTGCTCTCTCGCCAAATGGGGAATGCTTCTTCTCTCCTCCTCCCACTCCCCTAAGAAATAAGCCTACTCCCCTGGGCTGTCCTCTGCCTTCAGGTCCAGCTGCTAGGGCTTCTTCTTGGAGGGAAGCCTTTGAAAGTAGAGTAAGACAGCATATCAGTTCTCTTTCCCAACTAAAGTGGCAGGGGTGAGTCCCCCTTCAATCACTCTAGGAACTGAGCCAGCGACTGGCTACCCCTGCCAAGATACCTGCATTCTCTCCTCATTGTGTCTTGGCAGGTGCTGGGATGCACCCTACCGTGTCTGTCCATCTACAAGGTCCTCCCTAGTCTCTCATCCCTGCAAGCCCTCTTTGACCACAGTGTCCACCGGCGGTGATGTCTCCATTTTCTGAACCCCTTAGAATTCATCACACATCCTAGTGATTTAGCTCCTCTCTCACAGTGCCTTGTATTGAACAAAGATTTATTTCTGCTCAATTACAAGCCATTGAGGATAAGTTTGTTCTGCTTTTCATCCCTCTAACTCCCTCCTCCCTTCTCTCTTTCACAGAGAAGTCCCTCAGTGCCCACTGATTGGGTCACAGGTACTTCCCACCTCTTTGCCATGTGCAAGCAGAAGAGGAAATGGAGGGTTATCAATTGGCAAATGTTCCTGAATAATTTGTATTTCAATTCTGAAAGCTAGTTGTTTCTTCGATTAGCTAAGATGAGGTACTTTATTTGTGAACCATTCTGTGAGCATCATTGAAGAAGACTGCATTATATGCAAGCTTTTTTTTTTATCCTCACCCCAGGACATGCTCATTGATTTTAGAGGTGGGAAAGGGGGAGGGAGAGGGAGAGGCGGGGGGGGGAGAGAGAGAGAGAGAGAGAGAGAGAGAGAGAGAGAGACATCAGTCAGTTGCCTCCCATACAGACCCTGACAGGGGATCAAACCCACAACCTTTTGGTGCACAAGGTAACACTCCAAACAAAACAGCCACTCAGCCAGGGTACCGTCTTATACATACACTTTTATTTTATCTTATTTTATTTTATTTTATTTTACTTTATTTTATTTGTATTGTATTTTTTCCATTACCATTTAGCCCTCTTATACACAACACTCCTCACAATCACCACACCGTTGTCCATGTCCATGAGTCCTTTTTCCTTTTTGTTCATTCCCTCCACCTCCTAACCCCCATCCCCTTAGCTTTCATAAGCATGTGCATAAGCATTTAAATGTCCTAAGTCTTCTCACTAACCTGAGAAGACAGCACCCTGCCTCTTAGAGACACATCCTGGGTAAAGGCCTGGGTTTGCTAGAGAAAAACTGAAGAATATTATGCCATATTATTACTTGCACTTACTTACCAACCCCTGGTTCTTGTAGCTTTTGCCTTAACATCTTATGGGGTTTGTACACTTAGCAAAGTGCTTAGGAGATCTAGAGTTAGACTGCCCAGGTTCCAACCTGACCTCTTCCACGTATTAGCTATACACTATTGGGCACGTCACTTAAACTGTGTGCATCAGTTTCCTATCTATATAAAAGAAACAACAGCATCTCTTCATAGATTTATTATGAAGATTAAATGAGTTACTATTACAGGTAAAGCCTTTAGTAAGCTCTCAATAAGTGTTAGTTGCCATCACGATTATTTTTGGAGAAGCAGTCTTGGGAATCAGAAGACCTTGTCCTATTTCTCTCATTTATTTGCTTTGTGGCTTTGTACATATGAACCTCAAGATCTCCTTTCTTCATGTTTGAAATTAAAATGCTGATAATACTTTGTGTGCTAATCTCACAGAGTTGCAGTGAGATTCAAATGAGCTAATACACATGGAAATGTATTGTAAACTATGAAAACTGTACAAATGTAGGATAACAGGTGGTCCCTCTCTGCCTGCACCTACATGATTGTACATCCCATTGTGCTTTGTGTAATGGTTACTTATCTGCCTCCTCTACTAGCCTGTGAGCTCCTTGAGGCAGGGGTCACATTTTGCTCTCTCTTCTACCAGCCACGGCGCTCATCCTGATGCCTGCATGTGGTACGTACTCAGCAAATGGGAAACTAGAAAAGTAGCAGGCTCCTTGTGTGTGCTTTTCTGGTATGCATTCCAGCAGCTTGCTTCTTGTTGAACTGCATGTGCTAGGACCATCCTCCTACATCACATGAGGCTCCCCAGAGGGTACACCTGTGAGCAGCATTTGTAAGAAAGAGTCTAGTCCTAGGAGTCAGGCACCCAGTAGACACTAACTGTGGGGACACCCTGGCCTGCCACTCCACTCTGGAGACCTTCCTGGGCTCAGATCCCCTGTGCTAAGCCCCGCAGTCTTCCAGTCTTCATGAGGTCTTTCAGTTAGTCTCCATACTATTGGAAAGACCATAATACAAGTTCAGTTGCCCTAGACAGTCCAACCGGGAAAACTGAGAAACCAAACCTCAGCATTTTGTAGAGCAGAAGAGGCCTCAAGGTCTTGCTTCCTTTCTTCCTACTTTGAACGCTTCCCAAAATGGCAAGCTTGGTTTCGGCACCTACTCCCATATCTTCATGGGGGGTTGGCGGAGACTCAGAGGATGCTATTTGGAGGAGGCTGTTCTGTATCATTTCTGTATCCCTCAAAACACCCACCTGAGACTGTACACAGAGAAAGCACTGGACACATAGTTGCTGATTGGAATTAGGATTACTGAGAAAACCAAAATGAGTAGACTCGTTGGGAGATTAATTGCACAGGAGTCTGTTGACCACACGACCGAAGCTAGATTTTTTTTTTCCGGAACCACTGGCTGCCTTCACATTTCCTGATGGAAATGGGACAGGTCAACAGAGTCATAGATAACTTTTGCCCACACATCATTCACTTTTTGGAGCGTTGGCTTGAAATTGAGGGGTGCGTGCGTGCGTGCATGTGTGTGTGTGTGTGTGTGTGTGTGTGTGTGTAACTGATGTGCCTTCCATGACCCTCAGAGGTCTGTGCACTCTCTTCAAATGAGCTGATTACAACACAGAGGATGTGGACAGTGGAGTTTTTCCTGATTGATGTCACACTGCTACCCTTTAAAAGCTCAAGGGAAAAGGAGGGAATCCAGCCTGGGATCCTCACGCCAGATCCCCACAAGGAAGAAGAGGAGAAAAAGGCCAGCGAGGCCAGCCCTGGAGTCAGGGAGGCAGTGTCAGGTTTCAAATTCTGCACCAGCCATTCAGAGAGCAGTGATGTCGGGGGCCTGCCTTGGGTTCCTGGTCTGCGTCCTGTGCTGCGTAGTCAGAGCCTATCCCAATGCCTCCCCGCTGCTCAGCTCCAGCTGGGGTGGTCTGACCCACCTGTACACAGCCACAGCCAGGAACAGCTACCACCTGCAGATCCACAAGGACGGCCATGTGGATGGCACACCCCATCAGACCATCTACAGTGAGTAGGGGCTTCATTCAGGCTGGGAAGAAAGGGGGCTCCTCTGTCCATCCCACTTCCAGGGGGGGACCGTGGGCTAGGCCAGAGGGTTAATCCAGCCTTCCAGTTTCTTGCCCAGGACCCAGTGTGAATGTGCATGCCTGTGTTTAAACCATGGGTGGAGATTCTGCCACCTTCCTAATTAGCATTTACTGGTTTCTACCAGCACGAGTAACTTCTGCCTTTACTAAAATCCTTCTTCCCACAAGAACAGCCGCTTTCTCTATGTCCTAGCCAAAAAGTCAAAAATGAAAAGAAAGAAAGGCACGGAGGTTAAGAGGACAAAGCCAGAGAGGTCAGCAGACACTGAGTTTTAGCTCGTGAACTTTGGATTCATTGGGTCAGCAATTCCGACCCAGGTTTGGAATAGAGGAACTCAGATACTCTTTCCCACTCTGAGTCTTGCAATCTGGCCTTGTAAAAATTGTCAGGAAAAGTTAGAGGCAGATTATCCAGGTATTTCGTTCTGAGGAGTCTGGCCATGTGCACACACCAAGCATGCACTCATCTATCCATGAATGAATCCATCCAACAGATTTGCTGGGGCTTCATAGCTACCCAGTTTGGAATGAATTGCTAATTCTTCTCTGTGGAGCTGAAAGATGCATGCAGTAGCAAATGAGCTAGTTGGGAACTCTTTGGCAACATGAGACAACTGGAATGTTTTTAAAGATTAGGTTTGTGGAAAGTTGGATTACAATCCACAATAATCAATTATCTATACTTCATCTGAGGGCCCTTTGGTGTGCACCTATATAAGAGGGCAGAAGAATATTGAAAAAGACAAGGTCTTCTATTTTAAAAGGATATGTAAAAATTACTCTAAGGATATAGGAAAATACATACTGATTTAATACAGACCAAATTAAAGGAATGAAAGAGTAATCACAGCCTCTGTTTACTTTAAGTCACGAAACAAAATAATTAAGTAATTTTGCTGTGGCCTTGCTGTGTGCAAGACATTAATTCTCTTAAGAATCAAAGGTTCTTAAATCTGGTAGCAAGACATATGCCTCTGCGAGGCCAACAGTTCAAACCTCTTCAAGTGTTCAATGGTTGGTGACAGGAGATGAGACGAGGGAGAAAAGGTCTCTTCAAATACCAAAAAGATTCCAGAACCCAAAGGGATATAGTATGATTCAGGAGCCAACGTCTTGGCAGCCAAATTTGAGTCTAATGGCAAAATGTGAAACAAATCTGGATATTCTTGATACCTCCAAAGTGCTGCTCATGTTATGCAATGGGTATTTATCAGAACCTACAATGTGGCTGATATCACACAAAGCTCTGTAACTGCAAAGGAAGACATGGCCTCTCAAGCACTTCATCTTGTCTCCCAGCTCATTATCAGACTTTTAGGAAAAACAGTTTTTGCAACTCCCATGGAGGGCTACCCTTACTTCCACTGCAAGATGAGATGATAGCTGATTTAAAATGCATGAGTGGACTATGGTACGTTATTTCGATTCCCATAGATGGAAAGGGCTTCATGCAACTAGAGAATGCTTATAAAACTTGTCTAGAATCATGGAATCGCTTCGCTGGAAGGAGCCCCCCAAAGACATGTCCTCTCAGACACGACAGGGAGTAGGCAGACTGGTGTTTGCCAGCTGTAGCGGGCTGAGTGCTCCAGTGTGTGGGGCTCAGCCTACAGAGCAGGCAAGCCGAACTGTAGAGCTTTCCCTCAAATAGCCGCTCATGTCAGGCACTGAGTACTAGCTGGAATAAATTAAAATGACTGGGAAGAAGCAAAGTAAATTGAACTGATTTCAGATTTTTTTTTTTTTTTTTTTACAGAAAAGTGATTTTGCTTTGTCAGATGTAGACACTAGCTAAGCATGGTGCCTCTGGAAATCACCACAGACCTGGGGAGGGGAATGCAGGTCAGGGGTGGGGCAGAGGCACTCTTCCTAGTTTATATAATTTTTTGTACAATTCAAATCACTTATCGCCTGCGTTACCAAAGAGTGTCTGCACTAAGACAAAAAGTTACCAAAGAAAAGAGGAAACATTGGTGCACATAGATAGGCAGGAAAGCTAATTGGAACACTTTTACACGTGTTGGGAAGGTGCAGGGCATTTCCCCCACTTAATTAATTCTAGATTTCCAGTGAAATCTGTTTTCATTTGGTTGCTGTGTTTTAGTAAGTTGTTGATCAATAGTTGAGTGCCCAGCCGATCGTTGGGCTCTTGGTCATTGTAAAATCATTCGCCTACAAGATTCTATAACCTCCCTTCGGACTCACAGCACTGATGGCGAGGAGCCTCTCCGATGTCCGCATCTCCTGTCCTACTGTGAGCAAGGCCACCCTCCCACTCCCCATTCTCTCCACTTTCTGGAAACAGCAGAACCAAAGGTGCTTATCACCCCTGGTTAATGCCATCTCCTAAACCCAGGCATTTTTATTTTCTCCGACTTCCCCATTGGCATTTCCTTTATTTGAGGCTGAACTATCCTCAGGTTCTCTAAGCATCCAAAATCTTATCTTTCTTTTGGGGAGCTCTACGTACTTTACACATATCATCTTATTTGTCATTTGTTGGCTATGAGAATACAACAGAGCAGATAATTTTCTACTTTAATAGCAGAGGTTGAGGCAAAGGGGTAATATAACAATTACCAGTATTGAGAAAGTGCTTTTATGGTGGATAAAAATATTATCTCATTGCATCCTCAAGGCAACCAAATGGGGTAAGTGATTGTACTGCATATGAGAAAACAAAGGTTAAAGAAATTAAATAACTCGCTCAGGGTCACATAGGTAGTAAATGATCTAGAGGTCATGACCCCAAACAAATACTTTTTTCAGGGCTATATGCACCAACCATTGTCTGAAAGAAATGTCCGTGAAGTCTGCCTGGCTCCAACAGGTGGTGGTTCAAGCAGCCAGTGATTTGTTTCTTCCTTCTGCTGAAATCTACTTTCAAATCTGTGTAGACTGTAAAAACACGCCTTCTGAAATTGCAAAGAGAAGAAAATCTGTCCCTTATATTTTCTGAATTCTCCCATTGGCTTATGTTGGTTCGATTCAAGTCTAAGCATCGTCCATAGCAGCTGCTCGCTGTTCCTCTGTGGGCTGTTTTCTACGGGGACTGGCCCTGGAGACCAGGAGCAGGTGTGCCACGCACGCCACAGACAGTGGCTCCCAACACCAGGATGTCATAATGGAAGGTCAGCAATACTGTATAATGCCTTTCCTTTGCTCAACACTTTCAAGCCATCTTTACAACCATCATCCCATGTGATTCTAATTGTAACCCTATAAAGTGGACAGGACAGCTGTTACCGTTCTCTTTTCACGACTGAAGAAACTGAGGCTAGCGTAATGACTTGCCCAAGGCTACAAAGTTAGTAAGTGCCATAACTGGGACTGGGATCCAAGTATCCAGGTTCCCAGTTCCTGGTTCAGTGCTCCTTTCCTGACCCGCTCTGGGGCACAATGACTTGAGCTCCTCATGCCTGCAGCATGTGTTTGCGCACTTGACATTGTCTTCTGACAATGTCTGCTTGTAATGATTTCTGTGGGAGGCAAGCTACAGGGTGGTAGGCAGAGGGTGTTAGATTTACTGACCTGAGCTTGAATCCTGCCTTCGTTTCCATATCACTTAAATTGGGACGCTGCCACTACCTATATTAATAATATTCACAATACAACAGTTGTTTTGAGCATTTAAAATAGGTAAAGCTCTTAGCTCACAATCACTCAAAACTTTTTTCCTAGTTGGACTGAAAATTCATCAGGACAGAAACTATTCCCTTCAAGTTTCTTATGTTTCTCTCAGGGCTTACCACAAAAATTAGCCATCTATTTGAGACATGTAGGCAGACCCAATTATGGAGAAATTTAAATATCCTCTGCACTGCCCATACCCCACCCCACTTCCAGAAGCTTCCCTCAAGGCTAAGCCTCAGCCAAATTTGGAAACAAATTAACTTTCCTCTTTGGCCTCTTCCTTTCTCTTCTTTCTGGGCTTGCTCCCACCCTCACTCCTGTCCCACGTCACTCTGACTGCAGTCCAGATCGGGATCTCCTCTCAGCTCCTGTCTAAGTATCGCTGCTGCTCCCCCTGGAGGTCTTGCATGGAGCCTAAGCGGGGTACGGGAGGAGACGGGCTGCAGTCAACCCACAAGGCCCCCCCCCTTACTGAGTACACACCATTTCTAGAAGAGGGATTTGAACCCCTACCTGGGCTCCGCCCAGGGGTCAGCAAGGCCAGATGAGGCACAGAGGGAAATTCTGGGGTAGGCAAATGGAAGTGGCCCCAAAGACTTAAGGAAAGATTTTCGATAGAAAATATCAGATTATTAAATAGCATTTGGGGTGTAAGTGACACCCCGATTGAGCAAAACAGCATTCGCTGAACTGTACCCGTGCCACAAAACAGAAAGCTTTAGACTTTATTTAACTAGGCATTGGTACTTGTTGAAATTGCAAGTTTCCACAGGGACGGGAAAGGAGGTCACACTTAAAGCTATTATCAATTATTTAAGGCGTGAATAATATGAATGGGTTTCTGGCCCTTGTTGGAGACTAGTTTTTGTGAGGGGCATTGAAGGACCATGAGGGCCTGAACCTGGAGGGAACATCACCAAGTGAGGAAAAGACAAAGAACAGCAAAAAAGATCCAAGAAGAAATTCCATCCATCCCTGATATCTATCCAATATTCAACATTGAAGGATAAACCCTCTGCTTCTAAGTAGCTCCCTGTAGGGGATGCACTAGGCACATAAGCTTAGTTAAAGCAAGGAAAAACCCCAAGCGTCTGCCTTTGAGACCTGAATGAAATGCATGCTGTAACAGAGGTGTAGGCATTGTATTGAGGGAGGTGAGAAGAAAGCAATGAATGATGAGGGAGTTTAGGAAAGTTTTCATAGAAATAACGACATCTGAGTCTGGACTTGAAGGATGAGTGACTTCAATAAGCAGAGAAGGGAGGGGAAGATCAATTCTAATATAGTTCTTGACACATGATGGGTGTTGACTGATGCACCAGTTACATTTGCACAGCTACCTGGGTAGAGAATCCGGCTCTATATGCAAGCTGGATCCTTGAAAGACATCTTGGTGCAGACTTTAAAATCACAAAGGCAAGAACCTTTGGGAAAACATGACCACCGCCACAAACATGAAGCAGTATTAGCCGGGCAAGGAGACAATAAGACAGTGCAGGTAGAGAGAAAATCATGTATAGGGCTGGGGGGAGAGAACACGGGGAGGGGCAGAGGTGGAGGGCACAGGGGTCTGAAGAAATGAGGCTGAACAAGTAGGTATAAGGGGAGGGTTCTGTGAAATCATCACCACCAGTAAAATCAATCAAGGAAGGATTCATGAAGGTAGGTTTTTGGGAACTGCTCAAAGGTAGAAGTTGGATGCACAGCATGGTTTGACCAGAACGATTTTCTCCACAGGTGCCCTGATGATCAGATCAGAGGAAGCTGGCTTTGTCGTGATAACAGGTGTGATGAGCAGGAGATGCCTCTGCATGGACTTTAGAGGCAACATTTTTGGATCAGTAAGTTTCTTTTCATGCTGGTCACTGTTTGCAAATAATTATCTAATTTCTTTGACAGAATATAGATGTTTATATCTTAAAGATTCCATTTGCAAATACCTTGATGATTTACTTTCACTGAGTACCTTTTTCAGTCATAGTAGTAAATGCCCAGGTTTATGCACCTAGGCTTTGAACCCAGGCAGTCTGGTTCTGGAGCCCAGACTCTTGCCCTGAACTGCCTTTTAGTGTCCATTTTTGTATCTAATACAGCACCTTGCATGTAGCCATAGGTCCTTTAGTCATGTAAATCCATGTTGTAAAGTGCATTAGAAAGGGCAAGAAACCACAGGTGTCTTTTTGATTCTGTTACAAGACCCCTTTGACCTTGGGCAGGCCCCCTCACTTTTCTAAACTTCAGTTTCCTCAAATGGAAAAGCCAAAGTGTGATGGACCACAGGCCCTGTGAGGCTCCCTCTAGTTAAAGATCTCTAACGAATCATCTTTGCCCCAACTGTGCTGGCTGGTCCTTCAGACTGATAAGCAAAGGATTTCTCAAACTTTAGGTTGCAGGCACATTCCAAAGGATTTTTAAATCATACAGTTGTGGGACTGCTTGTTTCAGGAGCCTCTTACTACCAGACAGACCCAGTCGAAATTCCATGAGAGCAATGACTTTTGTTTTGCTTACTGTTGTGTCCCGGCATCCATAATGGCGTCTGACCCAGAGCGGATAAGTATCTGTTGAAGAAATACAGAAAATTAAACGAATAAATAAATAAATAGCTGTTGTCCACATACAGGCATATACAGAGTTTTCATTTGTAAAATATTACTTCATTGCGTTTAAGGATTAAATTAAATGATACGTAAAGGTCCTAGTAGGCACTCAATAAAAGTTGTTACTAGGTAGTGACAGAGTGAGGGCTCGAATCCAGGTCATCTGTTACCAAAGTTCATGTCCCTAACTCCCAAACTACATTATCTCTCTGATGTCAGGACCTTCACTTATGTTTGACACTGCAAACTACATCCCACCTCCTTCCTCCAGATAAAGAAGGAGGCAGACCCAAGCCACCTTTCAGCCAAAAGAGGGTTCAAAGAGGTAGAGAGCAGGAAGGACAAGGTCGCATTTAAGTCAGCCCTCCCTCCGGGAACCAGGCACGAGAGTGCTGCCGGGTCTGTCCACCCTAGCCACAGCCAGCCGTGTGCTAAGCCAGCCCAGCCCCAGGCAGGGCTGTGAAGGCCTGTGGTTGTCATTCACTGGCTGTGGGAGCGGAGTGGACAGGAGTAAAACACCTGTCAAAATCACGTTTCTCCAGCAGGGGTTAAGTAAGTCTGCCCAATAGAGTTGCAGGGAGGGACGGAGCTCCTCCCATCACAGACGCCCCTCCGGGCCTCCAGGGCTGGGCGCAGGGTTGGATCTGCGCTCGCCGCCCTCACCGGGCCCTCATTTGGGTGGCTTTGCTCTTTCAGCACCACTTCAGCCCCGAGAGCTGCAGGTTCCAACACCGGACGCTGGAGAACGGCTACGACGTGTACCACTCGCCCCAGCACCGCTTTCTCGTCAGCCTGGGCCGGGCTAAGAGGGCCTTCCTGCCGGGCACGAACCCCCCGCCCTACTCCCAGTTCCTGTCGCGGAGGAACGAGATCCCCCTCTTTCACTTCCACACCCCACGGCCGCTGCGCCGGCATACGCGCAGCGCGGAGGACGACGACGCGGACCCCGATCCAATGAACGTGCTGAAGCCCCGACCCCGCATGAGCCCCGGCCTGGCCTCCTGCTCCCAAGAGCTGCGGAGCGCCGAGGACCGCGGCACGGCGGTCAGCGACCCGTTCGGGGTGCTCAGGGACAACAGGGGCAACGCGCATGCTGGGGGACTGGGCGTGGAGAGGTGCCGCCCTTTCCCTAAGTTTACCTAGGCACTCCAGAAAGGAATCCTTTGCTGCCACCTTTCAGAAAAGCAAACTAACTTTAAAGGGACAGGCTCCGTTTACAGGAAGGGAAGGTGGGGTTTTGCGTGAAATTAGCTGCTTCTCTCCATTTCCTTCCCCAGGAAAGCCCCTGAGAATCTGCCTTTGAGGCCTGAGAAAAGGGAGTTTCACTGCCTTCCTCACCCCACTTAGACCGCCTTTCTGAGTTAAGAAGCCCCCTAGGTAAATTAGGAAGTTTCCCTTCGCTGAGGAGAGAAGAGAGCTTTCCCCCTTCCTTGCGCCTCTCTTCTTAATCAGTTTAGCACTGAATACAGGGCGTAGTGAGCTCACCACTTTGGAGGTGAGTGGGGACAGCCGATGCCAGCTGCTTCTCCGCTGCCCCTGCATTAAGTTGCCTTGGCCCTGCTGGCATTTGAATTTGCAACCTTGACCTAGGGCAGTCACCGCCGAACCGGGCACACTGATGGGAATCCTAATCTCAAGCCTTGGTTCTTCCTTGAGCACCTCCGGAGAAGAGCTGTCAAAAAGGTTGGTGGTAGCTGGTCAGAACTTAAGTGGAATGTTCAGAGAACTATGGCAGGAATCAAGCTAGAAAACTCAAGCTCCCCACGGGCTGGGCACCCCATGCCGCGCTCTCAAGGCCGCCAGAGGCAGAAGGCCAAGAATGACCCTGGTCTGCCCCCACGCGGCCGCGACGCAGCCCTGCCTCTGGCCCTGTCTAGCGAGTTGGGCCTGACGAAGAGCCTTCGAATTGGTTCCTGAAAATCTAGACCGCTACGATTTGTTTTTCAAAATGGTAATAAATTCAACCTCTCCTAAAGGGGCATTTCATAAAGTCTCTACTTCCACGTGGAGTGGTAATCCATCCTGGATGGATTTCAAAAAGTTTACAGCGCAGGGAGCCTTGAGACAATGGGGCTGCTCTGGGCTCAGTTCTCCGTAGACTGGCAAGTTCTGCCCCTTTGAGTGAAGTGACGTCAAGGTCTGGGGAAGTAGATACGTCCAGCAGCCAGGTCACCACAGTGTAGGAGTTAGGGAAAAACTATGCTGCCAGCTCTTCACTATGGTGTCTTCACTGCCCTGCAGCAGTGGCGAGGGGCCTAATTAAAACTCTCTTTGGCTGACAAATCTTAATCCACTTGGGTATTCCGGGGACATGAAATGAAGACAGCCTTCAGGCCCAAGGGCCCCAATACTACCCTGAAGGAAACCAAACTGATTTGCCAAACAGCAGAGGAGCACCAGACAGGCGGGACTGCCGCTCAGTCCTCACCCTAGCCTTCCCGGTGCCTTAGGGTGTTCCTACAGTGGGGCTCCGTTTTCCTACCTCTATTTAAATGGCTATCCAAAGAGCAGAATATCAACAAGCAAAGTAGATTTAAACAACAGCTTCTTCCCAGTCGCCCTTTTCCCCCACTGCTATCATGAACCCAACCTTAGAAACGTCCATTCCTCTTGCTTACAAGAGAAACATTGGACAACTGTTTTTGCCTAATGGTTTTAAGCTGAACTTGAAGGACTAGTTCCTCTATGAAGCACCAAAACTATACTACTATATAGCAGTGCATGGCAAATATTTCCTTTCTATAGTTTTCATTTCCTGTTGGAGATAAAAAAAGCTATTGGAAGCACCACAGTACTGACAATGAGATGAGAAGTTGCAAAAGCACTTTTAGTAGAAAACTGGTTCTTACAAACTCAATACCAGCTATCGGGGGTTTGTCTCCTTGGCAGAGCCAAGGTTGTCCCCACAATTTCCTACATCTGTTAGCCTGTGGTAATATTTATTTATTTATTTGGAAGACTTTGCCTATTGCTCTATATTTATAGGTATTTATAAAAATGTAACCCCACCTTTGCCCTTTCTTCTGTTTAAAAGAAAAATAAAATTCATCTCAATTTATGATTGATTTTTCTCTATGTATTACTACATAAAAGCACATCAGAATGAGGATAAAAGTGATAATGGGAGGAGAGCATTGGGAAAATCTAGGGAAAGCAAAGTTAAAAAAGAATATCATCATTTCAAAAATTTTGTCGAATCTCTTGGGGTGACATTGGTTAATAAAATTATATGTCTCAGGTGTACAATTCTATAACACATCTATAGGTTGTATTGTGTGTTCATCACTCCAAGTCTCCTTCCCTCACCATTTATCCCCCCTATACTGTATTCTACCTCCCCCCACCTTCCTCTCTGGCAATCACCATACTCTTGTCTGAATCCATAAGGGTTTTTTTCCTTTCTTTTTTTTTTTTTTTTTTTTGCTTAATCCCTTTACCTTTTTCACCCCACCCCCAACCTCCCTCCCCTCTGAGACTGTCAGTCTGTTCTCTGTATCTATAAGTCTGTTTCTATTTTGTTTATTTTGCTTATTATATTTCACATATAAATTAAATCATATGGTATTTGTCTGTCTCTGGCTTATTTCACTCAGCATAATACTCTCCAGGTCCATCCATGCTGTTGCAAAAGGTGAGTTCCTTTTCTCTTATATAGCCAAGTAGTATTCCATTGTGTAAATGTACCACAGCTTTTTTATCCACTCCTCTACTGTTGAGCATTTGAGCTGCTTCCAAATCTTGGCTATTGTAAAGAATGCTGTGATGAACTTAGGGGTGCATATATTCTTTTGAATCAGTATTTCGTGTTTCTTCAGTTCATAAATAGACTTGGCAATTTTGATTAATTCAAGTGGAATTACTGAAAATAAGAAAAATTTTACCAATATTGGATTTCTGACAACTGTAGCTCTAAAATGTTTTCTTTAAAGAGAGGAATTACTTTATTTGAAAAACACACACCAACACAGCTACATCTATATCCCAGTAAACTAGATGCTCTGTACTTCACACACACACAGTGTTAGTGCCCTATGAGACTTTATAGCAGGACAAGATAATGAATCCATGTCTTCTCTGTCTGATACTGGTGTCCTCAGAATTCCTTCTTTGATCTCTGACCAGCTACCAAAACACAGGAAGCAAACAATGCCTACTGCACATTTACATTTCTCTGCATTCAAATTTACATCAGCTCAAGCCTACAGTTTTTCATTATCTGACTTTAGCTAAGAACTTTTCCCTTTTAACAGTTAATGTAAAATAACTTAGTATAGGACTCACTATTTTAACTGGTGTTCAAATGACCTTCTGACAAATTCTACTACGGAGATTGTCCTCTGATTATGTACCTGTAAGAGTCTGAGTACCAAAATCCTCCTTACTATGGAGAACAGGGATGGAGAGTCACCACAATAGATACAGGAGTACAAGTCAAATGCTCTATTTCTTTGATCACATAAAATAGACTTATCAAGGGCATGTTATTCTTTTTAAAATTCTCTCTAGTTTTTTGTTGGGTTTTTGTTTTTGTTTTTTTTTTTTTTGGAACAGATAACTTGGCCTCTGCTTATAAGGTTCATCCCTCCACAGTATTTTAGTTTTGTTTCTGGCCCAAAGGACTTTAAAATCTGATAACCCATAGGAATGGAGCAATACCAAAAATATCACTTGGGAATAAACAGGCCTTCATTCCAGTATTGAAGGAGAATTAAACACTGTACGGGGAGGGGAGGAGATATCCTGTGGGTATTTTCCTTTCACAGGCTTGAAAGAGTTTCTTTCTCTGCCCATAAAATTTCTCCCTGAAGAAAGGAAATTTTAAACGTTTTAACACAACACAATTAGTAGGGTGAGGGTGGGGGAACGAGAGTGTGTGTGTGTGTGTGTGTGTGTGATATACATATGTATATATAAATTTATTACATTATATACATATGGCTGCTAGAAGCTTCACAGACCTTATCATAGGTAGGGTTTCCAGTAATCAAAGCCCAATCTTTATCTTGGCTATAGAATTATAAATCATTGCTGAATAAAGATATTATCTCAGCCATCACACATATTTGTATGGATAACTTAATGTTTATACAGAACTCTTGTGCATCTTAACTAAGTTAACACTTACAATCACATAGCCTCCACTTCCGTCATCAAAGAGTAACTGCTACTAGACTTGCTGTCCTGCCTAAACAGCTATAAAACAAAATGTACAAGACTGCCGTCTTCAGGAATGGAGGAGCAAAAGACTATGAGAAGGGAAACCTATGTGTCGATCCCCATGACCATCCCACTTCTGACTTAGAAACACTGGACAGTGAGATGGAACCCAGGCAGAGTGGCCATCTCCCTTAGCTGGGAAAGCGGCTGGACTGAGTAGCTGAGAGGAGGGAGCTGTGCCACGGGGAGATTTCAGAAGACTTCACGAGCATTCACTGCAGGCCTCTGGCAAAGGACTGGGCTGCACATGCACAGGGAGAAACATTGAGCAAAACGTAACAAAGACCATCTGCTCCAGAATTGGGAGATGAACAGGGAGTGATACCAGAGGCCATAAAATGCTAACACTAGAAACCCAAGAAAGCCAGGGTAGAGATTCACTGAATGCATCAGCATTTGACTGAGTCCACAGAAAGGCCACACCTTAGAAGGAAAGACTAAGCTCCAGAAAAAGGGATACACCCTAAAACTAAATTTAAAACTGAAGTTGACCTTCTCTAGCAGAGAATTAATTATAAGGAAGCCTGTCACTAGTTTAACTGTCTGCAAGGACAAAACTGAACACCCTTTAAACTGTAAAGGAAGGTGACATAATCCAGCCTCAATACATGGTATCATCCACACGTTATGAGAATAAGGGGAAATGGCCCACAGTCAAGAGAAAATGCAATCATTAGAAACCAACCATATGATGACCCAGATGTTGGAATTAGCAGGCAAGAACTTTAAAGCAGCTTTTGTAACTAAATTTAAGGACTTATTGATCATAATGATCAAACAGATTAGGAATCTCAGGAGAGAAAGCAAGTAATAAAAAAAGAACCAAATAGCAATCTGGAATTAATAAATACAGTATCTTGCCCTGGTGGGTATGGCTCAGTGGACTGAGTGCCAGACTGCAAACCAAAGGGTCACTGGTTCAATTCCCAGTCAGAGCAAAGGCCTAGGTGGTGGGCTAGGTCCCCAGTAGGGGGCATATGAGAGGCAACCGCACATTGATGTTTCTCTCCTCTTTCTCCCCCGCTTCCCCTCTCTAAAAAAATAAATTAAATCTTTAAAAATAAATAAATGCAATATCTGAAATTAAAAAGATATTAAGTGGGCTTAAGGTTAGAGAGGAAAGAAATGTGTAGCTATTTAATATTTAAAAAATTAAAATAAGCTATCTGGAGAGAAAAAAGTTTAAAAACTAATAACCAGAGTACAGGTGATCTGTGGGGTAATATCAAACTGTCCAAACTGTGTGTAAGTGGAGTCCCAGAAACATAGGAGCAGGAAAGGTTTAGGAATAAGAAATATTTGAAGATGAAATGGCTGAAATTTTCCTCAAACTGGTGAAAAACTAATGTTCTATTACAAGAATCTCAGCAAACAAAAAACAAAATAAACACAAAGAAAACCACACTTTGGTATATTACAAACTGCTGCAAACAAAGATAAAGTCTTGAAAGCTGCTGCAGAGAAATGACACTTTACACATAGGTGAACAACTCTAAGAATTATGGCTGATTTCTCATTGTAACTTAAGAACCAGCTCCGACTGGTACTATCTTGTTTCTAACAAGACCTGAACCAAAGTTTAGATCTTGGATACAGCACTGGAGATTTAACACTTGAGAACCCTTAACCACTCTGCCCCTCCCCCCACCCCCCCCATACACACACATCTGAAATAAAGGACTGGGGTCCTTTCAGAAGCAAAGGATCCATTATCCAGGAAGATCCAGTGCTGAGACCCCTTAAATCTTGTGCCAAACCCTGGGTCAGGAAGGCAAATTTGAGCCTTGTCTCTTGTCCCCTTACTGATAGGCACCACGATAAAAGTTTTTTTTACTCCTCTCAAAAGCCAGTGCCACAGTTTTATCTTCTGAAAACAGGATGGCACATTGGAACATTCCAAAGGAAATAAAAGCTACCTACCCAGAATTATAGAGCCAGAAACACATGAGTGAAATGAAGGTGGAAAAAAATAAAAGTGAAATAACTGAGAAAACTTGTTACCAGTCTGAAAAGAAGTAACACCATATGCAAAAACTATGGGAAAGATATAAGAATATCAGAAAGAGAAAAAAATTAAAAAGGTAAATTTAAACAATCATTAAAATATATAATATACATATAAAATACATAAATAATTTCCTTGATTTCTTTAAAATATTGCTTACAGCAAAAATTACAACACTGCACTGTGGGATTAATAACACGTTTGTGTCATACACATAAAAAAATTACCACACAGGATGGGAAGGATAATGAAACAACATGGTTACAAGACTGTAACACCGTATGTGCAATTCCTACAATATTAACTCTAAGTAGACTGTGACAAGTAAAGGATATTGAATATTGTAATTCCTAAAGTAACCACCAAAACAATAATATTATAATAATAATTAAAAAATACAAATAGTTATGGGTAATAGCCAATATAAGTATTAATAGAGAATACTGAAAAATATTCTGCTATCTCCAAAGAAGGCAGAAAAGGAAGAATAGTAGAATATCAGATGGGACAAATAAAAAAAGACAAAATCTGATCATATCAATAATCACATTATATATAAATAAAACACTACAACTAAAGACAGGAATGGTCAGATTGCATTAAATAAAAATACCCAACTATATGGTGTCTATAAAAGATTCACTGGGAAGAAAGGTATGGAAAGATGTTGTAATAGTTTTGCTCAGGCTGCCATAATAAAATACCACAGATTGGGTGGCTCACACAACAGAAATTTTCTCAGGATTCTGGAGGCCAGAAGTCCAAAACCAAGATGTCAGCAGGTTTTGTTTCTTCTTAAGCCCCTTTCCTTGGCTTGCAGATGGCTGACTTCTTTATGTGTTCTCACAGACTTTCTTTCTGTGCACATGTATCTCTGATATCTCCAAATTTCCTCTTCTTATAAGGACACCAGTCAGACAGAATTAGAGGCCACCCTATTGGCCTCATTTTATCTTAATTGCCTCTTTAAAGGCCCTATCTCCCAAAACAGTCAAATTCTGTGTTATCAAGGGCCAGGGCCTCAAGTGGGTGGTGGTCTTTCAATGAATGGGGGTTGGGGGCACAATTCAGTTTATAACAGATACATACAGTGAAAATGGTAAGCAATAGGGGCTTACTCTGTTAATATCATACAAAATATGCTTCAAATTCAGGAACATTATCATAAGAAAGGGTAACATTTTGTAATGATAAAAGGGCCCATCCATAAGGAAGACACAAAAATCGTGTTTCTAAAAACAGAGCAATAAAACAAATGAAGCAAAACAAAACTGAAAGGAGAAACAGACAAGTACAAATCTTAGCTGGAAATGTGCACAACCCTCTCTCCGTAACTGATTAAACACATGGACAAAAAATTAAGAGTGGAGATACCCACCCTTTTTTACACTCGTAACCTGAGCAACACTCGTGATGAACTGCATATAATTTACATTAATGGAACACTAAACCCAAGAACTACAGAATATACTCTTTACAAGTACAAATGAAATGTCCATCCATACGGACCATATACTAGGCCAACAAACAAGTGTCAATTAACTCAAAATTCAAAGTCTTACAGAGAACATAAATAATTGAATAAATAAATTAGAGTCCAATCTCTCAGGCAGAATTCCAAATAATTTACGTTGATACTCTGTTCTCAAGGAGGGTAGCACTGGCCTCCACTGTACACAGGGACTTCCTTTCAAAGGGTACCTACCACATGGAAATAGGGGGAAAAGAGTATCTGTACAGTGGAAAATTCTGACAAACATTACCTTGGCCAGATGATTAAGGTCAACACCAAAACCAACATAAATACAGCAAAAGAAATAGCCATACTGATAGTACATATACTTGATGTGATATGATAAAAATGTTTGCCTCTATGATCTCTTCCTCGTAAAAACCATAACCCCACTCTAATCATGACAAAAACATCAAATTCCAAGAGAGGCATCCTACAGAACACCTGACCAGTATTCCTCAAAACTGCCAAAATCATCACAAAAATAAGGAAAGTCTGGGAAACTGCCACTGCTAAGGGGAGCCTATGGAGCGGTAACAACTAAATGTCCTGCGGTGTGGAATGGGGTTGGGCGTCACGGGCATTAAGTGAAAACTAAGGAAATCTGAATAAACTCTGGACTTCAGGTAATAATAATAGATCAATATTGATAGACAAATAAAGATGTGGTCAATATATACAATGGAATATTAGTCATTACAAAAGATGGAATCTTACCATTTGCAACATGGATGGACCAAGAAGGTATTTATATTAAGTAAAATAAGTCCGACAAAGGAAGACAAATAATATGATTTAGTTTGTATGTGAACCCTAAAAAACAAAACAGAACAGGAAGCAAAACTCAGAGAACAAATTGATGGTAGCCAGATGGGAGGGGTGGGAGATGGGTAAAAAAGGTGAAAGCAATTGAGAAGTACAAATTACCAGTTATATATAAAGTCACAGGGATGTAAAGTACAGCGTAGGGAATACAGTCAATAATATGATGCCATACAATGTATGGTGCCAGGTGGGCACTAGACTTAGTGGGGTAATCACTTTGTAAGTTATATAAATGTCTAACCACTATGTTGTACCCTGAAACTAATGTAATATTGTCTATCAACTGTAATTAAAAAATAAATTTAAAGAAAACAAAACATTAAAAAGTGCGTGATAAACACACCTAAAAGGCAAATAAACTGGAAAGTATTTGTGATGTTACTCCTGCAACTCACTAAAAAAAAAACAAACAGCCAAGGAGGTAATCAGGGAAAGAATATATACTGGTGCTTTAACAGTGAGGAAGTCCTAATTGTCAATACACACACTGGGAAAGAAAAAAAAAAAATGCCCAGACCCACTAGCAATCACAGAAAAGCTCATGAAAATAGTAACTTATTTTTCACTCATCAGATCAACAAAATTTTGTCAAGACAGTTGAGTGTTGAGAAAGATGTGGAAAATAGGAACTTTTGAATACTGCTAGCAAAGCTAAAAAACAAAACAGCCATTCTGAAAATGATTTAGCTCTTGTCGAATGGGAGATGCATGTATTTTATTGCATAGCGTGAGAAAAGATGCAAAAGGTTTTTCCCTGAGCAGTTTCTATGGGAAAATGTTGAGTATTTCCACTAATAGAGGGGAATAAATACACAAAAGTGCCATATTTATTCAACAAAATACAGTGGCTATAAGATAATAGACATATACAAATCAGCACAGAGCCCCAAGACATAAGTAAAAATAAAAGATACAGACAGCCTAAAGATAGTTATGTACATTTTTAAAACACCAAAATAATACTGCTTCCTTATGATTCCAGGTGGGAACATAAAGAGTGGATGATCGTGAACACCGATTCCTTGTGATGGCTGCCTTTGTAGAGAACAAGAGGGCACAGGACTGCGAGAACTGGTGAAATAAGGACTGTGACTTATATCACAATCAGGTCTTAAAAAAGGGGGATATTACTTGTGGATGATGGGAATGTAGATATTCGTATTATTTGTCCCTTTCAGTTATTTTGTCAAATTTTCATTTGCAGTGTCCTCCCCTGGTGCTCACCACACGCTTTGCTCCAATACTGGCAGGAAAACGGCCGTTGCTAGACACATGGAGAACAGCAGAATGCCAGACTTCAGGTGCGACTTAAATGTCGTTTAAAGTAAATGTTGACTAGACATGATTTTAGCCTTAACTGACACACTTTAATGTTAATTCTTGTAAACGTTGAGACTCAGAGCATTCATCAACATGCGAACTGAAAAACAAACTACATATAAAACACGTCTTCATTTAGATAAGGATTTTTGAGGGCCTACTCATATGTACAAAATTAAGTTAAGCAAAATCCCTTTTCTCCAGTGCCATCTGGTGGGGAAAAGAGGCAACCTCATCTGTACCTTTCACAAAAACCTCTGCAGTTATCAGAGTACCATTTCTTTTTTCAACGAAGCACCCACTTTTATTCTGAGGTTTCTGTGCAGGACACTAGTACCTATTTACTTTCATTAGAGCCCTCCTCAAATTAAATCCTTCAGCCTACAGATTAGACAGGAAAGAACTTTATCTTTTCCTGCTTAGATTCCTTCTTCAATATTTTTAAATCAAGTGATGCTTTAACTTCTTCCTCACCATACCATTCTGCAATTCTAATTTCCATTTATTCACATTTCAAACCTTTGAGCAAACAATTCCAACAGCTGATTTCTATATTAAAAATTAGTGTCATTTTGCTTTATATAAACTTATACTGGTAAGCACTTTATATTTAAAGGACTTTAAAAATATACCATATTGGCACTATAAATATGCAGTGGGAATTATAAACAGTTCCTTCATCCAAGCACTGGATGAAGATAGCAAAAAACGTACAGTATCTTATCAAGAGCCAATAAAATAAGCTAGACTTTTCAGACATTAAAGAAAAATATCAACATAAAAGAAAAAAACAATAATCAGGTTATTAATCCCCCAATTTGCAATACTGAGTTCCTTCGTCCATTTACAATCCAGAGATATTACTAAACAGAGTGGTACAAATACTCTGGAAAATGCCAACTGTACTCGGACAAAAGTCAATTTTAAACAGTTTTCCATTAGTGTTTTATGTGGCTATGATTCCATTCGAGCTTTAAAATTGCTACAGTAGAGAGCTTTTTAACTGTTTCCAATTCAGCTATAGCAGAGGATGAAAATAAAGTCAAAGGCACTCCCTCCCTCAGAGGCTCAAAATTGTTAGATTTTAGCAAGTTTCAGTCACTCCATTTAGATGATCCTGTAGGTTCATACAAATACACTGAATTATTGGTTTAACTTCTCTTCCTTTCTCAAAGTTTATGATAAAGAGACTAATCCCTGTATTGGGACTGACTGATGTAAATTCGGATTTGCTCACAGTTGCTGGTAAGGAACACTTAAGGTCAGTCAGAAAATAATTAAACAGGCTTCTCATGTAGGCACCATGACTCACAACTAAGACACTGGCTACTAATTCCGGAGCGCTGCTGTCTGAATTAAATTTGGAGGCACAGTCTTTTCCTAAAGGGAATATCTCTGCCAAAGAAGTTTCCAGACAGTTGCTTGAAGATCCTGAGGAAAACGGTTCTTTTTGACCTGCTTCCTTCAAAATCAGTTGACAAAGAAATTCAAAAAAGTCTATTCCACGCATCTTCACCTATAAAGGAAAGAAAAGGTGAAGTAAGTGACATTAATGACCATCTTAAAACAGAAACATAAAACCTGATTGGACTTTTCTAATATGTCAATGTAAGCACTATATGAGCAGATGAAATGCTATATTTTTATTCATTCAATCAGTATTTCTATGGACATTAGTGATGGCCCACCATATTTCTGCAATTATGGAAGCACACTGGGGACAAAGATGACTAAGGTACAATTCCAGATTTCTGACTCAAAGCTTTCAGAATCTAGTTCGAGAAGTGTGCAAGTAAACAGAAACCCATAAAGTAGTATTAACTAGGAAACTACATATAACACTTCTGTTTACTTAGAACAACGACACAAAAAAAAAACCCCAAAACAAAAACACCACCTTCCCTTTACTAAATTAATAGAAAATCTTTACAAAAAAAATTATGAAAATAATGAACGGGGGGAAAATCACCAATAATACAATTCCAAAGCAGAATGATCCAAAGAAATGCAAGCACGGCGATGCCGTCACAGAGGGACGGCAGGGGCCTGCGGATTTCATGGCTTGAATCATTCTCCCTGTCATTCTCTTTGAACATCACCACTCACTTTACTGACTTCCACTACCACTGCTGAGGTTACTGATTCATAGTCAACAAGTTTCCTTAACAGTAACCTCCAATAGCACACATCCTTTAAATCCACGATCTGCTATGACTGCCAACTTAACAGTCGATGAGAAAGTGAGGGTAGCTTAAAAAAAAAAAATAATGTCATGCAGAGTTGTTTTATAAACCAAACAACTTTCAATCTGCTTTTCTAAAATTCAGGAACATCTAATTTACAAAAAAAAAAAAAAAAAAAAAAGTCCAATTTCAGCTTCTGGGCCATTGGCCAGTTCATCAGTGTGCCCCGGGGTTACGTACCTGGTCTAAGGTCTCTCCTCCAGGTGGTGTGTACCCAGGGATTTCTTCGCCAGCTGCTTTGGCCATCGCCCTTAGCTCACTCAGCCCCCTGCCTTCTGCAACCCCGTATTTCTGCAATGGTCCAAAAAACAAAAGTGTCTCCAATGAATTTGCAATACAACAATTAAGTACAATCACCCCACAAAGTATGGTTTCCTTCTACGCATCTTATTATATCTCCTCAGGACTCATAATTCCCCACAATGATAATGGATTACTTGCATAATAAAATATTCAAAGAGGTAAATCATTATTTAGGTTTGCATTGATGACACCAGAAGAGTCTAACAATACCATCAAACAGAGTCCAATAGTAAAATATTTTTTACATAAGTATATGCACATTTTCTTGCCAGGTGCTTTTACAATCCTCAAGTCCAACTCTGACATCCTCAGTTATATCTGCAGCAACCTCTGTTATAAAGAGGAACATCAATAATCACCACTTGCTCTATTTATTTGTTCAAGAATGGAAACAACCATTGGTTAAATACTCCAAACACTAAGCTGAAGCACATTAAGCAGTAAGGGCAGAGCAGTGAAGGAGGGTGGGTGAGATGTGGCTCCCTGTCCCTGTGGACATCGCAGTGTGGTGGGGACACGGACCTAGGAATGGTAATGGGAAAGTGCTGTGATGGAGGGAAATACCGGACAGGGACACATACAGCAGAGACTTCCAATCCGGACTTGAGGATCAAAGAAGGCTAAAGCCTCAGGGTAAGTGGGGGCGGGCCAGGTTTGGGGAACAAGTATTCCAGGCAGAGTGGAGACAGATTCAGAAGCTCAGTGAGGAAAGAGCAGAGGTTATCTGGGCAACTCCAAGATCCTTGAGCGGCTCAGTGGTCCAGAACAAGGGACTCCAGAACCAGGCGGCCTCAATTTCAGTCTGAGCTCTGCCACAAACTAGCTCTGTGACCCTGAGTGTGGACTTGACTTGTGTGCCTTCGTTTCTGCACCTGTAAAATGGGGGCTAAAACATGATGTTTTTAAATCTTCACAATATGTGGTGGTTGTGAAAATTAGTAAATGTGCAGTGCTTGGAACAGGGCCAGAAAGTGGTGAGCAACGTGGAAATGCTCAGTAGTATTATTATTAAACTGCCACCAAGCACAAGGGAAGAGGACAGAGGCAGGTGGAGGCAACACATCCGATCCACAGCACACTGAGAGCTAGCCAGGTAAGAACACGGACAACCTTTGAAGGTAAAAGAGAAGAGAAGTAGAGAACGGTGTAGCAAGCAAATTTTCCAAAGATTACTCTGGCTTGCACTGTGGACATTACATTGGATAATAAAGCGCAGTGAAAACAGGAAAATCTAGGTGACAGATGACGGCGAACTGCAATAGGATGGCAGCAGTGGGTTCATAAAGCAATGAATTCAAGAACTATTTAGAGGCAGTATTGACAAGGTGATGACAGATGTGCAGCATGAGAGACAGTGAAGAATCAGGAATGAATGGTTTGAGCAATGGGCAAAGCAAGAGCCAGATGGAGAAAGGAGACTGCAGTCCACTGAGCTAAAGCAGCTGCGGGGCATTCAAACAGAAATGAACAGTAGGCAGTTTGATATGTATGAGTGTGCAGCTCAGGTTAGAGATCTAAGCTAAAAGTACCTAAATGGAAATCATCAGCTCATCAACTGAAATCATAAGAAAGGATGAAGTTACTCAGAGAGAGAGCTCAGAGAGAGAAGAGATGTCCCAGCCTGATGAAAAATAATGCTTGCTACTACTACATGGTAATAGGTACTGTTCAGTGTTCACTGAACTCGAAACGCTTCTGTTTAACATTTGAGCACTGGTTCTCAGGCACAGAATGAGCCTTTCCAAGCAGCATACTGGAGCGTGTGCGCGAGTGCACACACACACACCCCCCGACCCCCCACCCGCCCTCCCCCGCTATAACAGAGAACACATGCAAGTTATGAAAAGAAATTCTTTAAAGATGCACTAGCCAGCCCTGGCTGGTGTGGCTCGGTTAGAGCGTCATCCCGTACACCAAAAGGTTGGGGTTTGATTCCCAGTCAGGGCACACACCTAAGCTCAAGGGTTCAACCCCCAGTAGGAGTATGAAAGACAACCAGTTGATGTTTCTCTCTCTTTCTCCCTTCTTCTTTCTCTAAAGTCAATAAATATATATATATTTTTTAATGCCTTAGATATTCTGTTACATTTCTGCCCCAATACAGAAGAAATCACAGGGCTGGCAGGGACAGTAACCAGCTTATAGGTCAGTATTATAGACCATAATAAAAAAGTCTTCCAGAAAACCTGAAATGAAATCTCAGATGTGAAATTATTCTATGGTTTTAGCTAAATCACAGTTCCAGAAAGCTTCATTTCTGGCATATAAAGTGGGCTATTTATGCTTAAAGTCAGGGAACAGAATTTGGAACACGAAAGGGAGAGCTTTTCAATTTAATTTTAAACTCTTATGTACTGTGTTAAATTCTCACAAGTATACTTTGCTTTTATAATTTAAGATGTGTATTACATGATTTTAATAATTAAAAAAGATACCGTTTATGAGAGTTTGTAACAATAACTGTTATATCACAGATTCTTAACAAATGTTAACTCTTTCCATATCCCTAGCAGGAATGAATTTTTAGCCATGTGATAGCTTGAAGTGGTTATTGATAATTTATGACAAAATAATACATAAGTTACTTACTCTTTCTCGAAGTCTTGAATCATACTTCACTGTCATATCTTGACAAAATTTGCTCTTCTCCAAAATCCCATGCATAGTCTGGAAAATCAAAACAACTGTTTCTCTTCTCATAAAAATTATCATTCTAGCCAAAATAATATATGCCTTCTTAGTGAATAAAAAAGAACTAGAACTTTTCTTTGCAAAATTTGCCTCTTTTTGCATGACTCATCCTTTATCTCTTCATGCCAGATTTTCCTATTTCCTTCTAACCTAACTTTCAGTTCAGAAGTCAGCAAACAACAGCCTACAGGCCAAAACAAGGCCATCACTTGTTTTATAAATAAAGTTTTATTAGAACACAGCCATTTATGTATTGTTTATGGCTGCTTTCAAAGTACAATAGCAGAGTTGAACAACTGTGACCATATGACCCACTAAAAAAATATTTACTATCTGATTCTTTATAGAAAAGGGTCTAATTCATTAATTCCCCATTCAGGTGTGTTTAAATTGATGTCACATCCATCAAGTCTTGATTTTAGTTTTATTTTCAGCTCTAAAATTTGAATTTGATTTTTTTTTTAGCTTCCAGTTTTCTCTTAATAGTCTCCACGTCTTTTACTTGTGCATTAAATAATTATTTTAAAGCCTATGTCTGATAACTCCCATTACCAGATAACTCCCATGACTGTTTCTGCTACCTTTTGTTTTTTATTTATTTTTATACACATTTCCTTCTTATTGTGTGCCTGGTTATTTTTAATTGCCAAGAGACACTGTATTTGCAAAACGGTAGAAATGAAGTCCATAACCTGCTTTGTTTTTTAACACTCCCCCCACAAATTAGACATTATCATCATTACTGTTTTATATTGGCAATACTTGTTTATATTTACCTAAACCTTCACCAATTTCTTTGTTCATCATTCTTTTCTGAGACTCAGGTTTTCCTTCTGGAATTACTGACCTTCTTCAGTTATCCTTTGAAAGTTCATTATAGGCTATTTGTCTGAAATACCCTCATTTCACATACACTCTAGAAAATGTTCTGCTGGATATAAAAGTCTAGGTTAATCCTATTGTCTCTCAGCACTTCAAAGAAATTGATACTGACAAATATGTTGATAGTCTAATATTGGTCTTTTTTTTAAAAAAAATGATTTATTTCTTTTTAGAGAGAGGGGAAGGGAGGGAGAAAGAGAGGGAGAAACATCAATGTGTGGATGCTTCTTACACAACCCCCACTGGAGACCTGGCCCGAAACCCAGGCATGTGCCCTGACTGGGAATTTAACCAGCGACCCTTTGCTTCACAGTCTGAAGCTCAATCCACTGAGCCACACCAGCCAGTGTTAATGTTGGTCTTTAGTAAATGATGCTTTTCCTTCTTATTCTCTGGAGTTTTGCAATTTTGTTATGATAAATGTAGAAGTGCGTTTTTCTTTATCCTGACTGGGACTTGTTACACTTTCTGGGTCTGATAATTTATTATGTTTCAACAATTCTGTGGAATTATGAAACCTTTATAAAGATTTTCCACCTGTGTCTTCTTATAGAAGTTTTATAATTTTAGCTTTTAGATTAGTTCCATGATCAATTACAAGTTAATTTTTGTGTTGTGTGAGGTAAGAGTCAAAATTCACATTTTTCCACATAGATAACCCAATGTTTCAATGTCTTTTATAGAAAAGACTACCCTTTCAATCACTGGATTACCCTGGTGCCGCTGTCAAAACTCAATTGACCAGATAAGTGTAGTTCTATTTTTTTAGGTCCCTCAACTTCTGCTTGAGGGAAAGTCATTATTTCACCTCATTTTTCAAAGAGCTTGCACTGGGTATAAATTTGAAAATTTTTTTAGTCATTATTTGCTCAAAATATTTGTTTTTACTCCTCATACTCATCTCTCATCTTTACTTCCCTTTTGGAACTTCAACTATATGTAAATTAAATTGCTTGATAGTGTACTGTATTTCACTGAGACTTCACTTTTCTTTTTTAGTCTTTTTTCTTTTTATAATTTTAGAATATTGTTTCTATGTCTTCATGTTCACTTAGCTCTTCTTCTACAGTATCTATTCTGCTATTAATTTCATCCTGTGAAATATTCATTTCAGAATATCGTATTTTGTATCTCTAAAAGGTAAATTTGTTTTTTTTTTAAATTATATCTTCTATTTCTCTCTTCATTATGTTCCTCTAAGGATAGTTTAGCCTCACTTATTAAGGGATGATCCTATGACAACTCTACTGTAAGCTCTAGGTATTCAAGGAAATCTTTACTGCAGCTGATGGGAACTCAAATTGATTCCCAAACCCCATCCTAGAATTGTTCAGCTTACAACTCCCCAGTAATTGCTCTCTCCCATGAAGTTGTGTTTTGTCTGGCTTCATGCGGTTTCACCCTGCATATGTGCAAACTAATAGTCTACTAGCAGACAAAGATTTAAGGGGATCCTTATATGTATGTCTGGAGTTCTTTTTCTGTGCAGCTCTCCCTTCTAGTACTCTGACTCACACATTTTAGTTATTTAACCTTCCCAAATGCTAAGCTATATCTTCTGAATTTACTAAGACCATTGGGCTCTATTTGGGTTTTCCTACCGAAGTCTGGATATTGTTTGACCAGAAAATTCAGGACAACCCTGGGGCTCACCTCATTTGTTTCATTTCATTTGGGGATCATACACCCACATTGCCTGAGATCCAATATGTGAAGGGTGTTTGACAAATTTTGTCCTGTTTTCTAGTTGTTTATTGGGAGAGGCTAAATTCCAACCCTCTTATTCCCTCATACCTGTCACAAAAATTCTCCTTCCATTGAGCTTTTAGTAGTTGCTTTGATTCTTTTTTAAATCTCCGGGGTTATTTTTATAGTTAATCTATTCCCTAAAGATATTTAAGATATTTCAAATGTGTCTTTTATTTCTTTGCCATAACACTGTTTGTTTTATTTAACTGTATCTAGTAATTCCAATATTTGATGTCTTTGTGAGTTAGATTCTCCTGTCAATTGTTTCTTCTGGCTCTCTCATGACACTTTCTTTGTCTTTTGTTTTTATTTTACACATTTTGTTAGATTTTTCTTTCCAAGCTACTCTAATTTAAAAGTTACCAAAATGAAATAAAGAAAAAAAAAGGAAAAGTTCTATTGAGGAAAAGTGAAGATTGGGGGTAGTGTGTGTGTGTATGTGTGTGTGTTTTTTAATTCCCTACAGATTCTGGTAGATTGTTCAAGGTTACAACTGGTGAAACTTTGGACTCATCACTCTAAACCTTGACTGTAAACTTACCTGCTTTGTTCTTATGAGATCACTGGAAAAAACATGAGTAAACTTCACATTATTTAGAAAAACACCAGCAGCAGCTGCTTGTTTAAATCCAGTTTCTGAAAGAGGCTCATCTATTCCTTGTCCTACGATATTAAGAGAAGGAACAATACCATTCAAAAAATATACATAAGGTATGCAAATTAAATCACATGTAAGAGACTATAAATGCATTTATTTATATTTTATTTAAATATTTCCTTGGGTACTTTTCCACATAACTTTTCAGAGGACTGACAAGTAAAATTAAGCTATAATCCGGTATAAAAGGCTCAAGTATTCAAATTTTCCCAAAAGAATGTTTGCCTACTGGGAATTAGATAATGAAAATTCAACGGTCTCAAGCTTTCTATTCTTTCACCTTTTCCCATCTCTTTATTAGCTATATTTTATTAATGCTGGCTCTGATCTTACATTCTCAACTCAGGTATTATGTCTGGGTGGTAGAATCATCATCTAAGAAAGTTTATCCTTCTATCTCCATTGCCCAAATGTTCTGTATGAAATCCTTCCTTCCTTCCACCTTCCCTCCTTCCCTTCTTTTCTTCCTTCCTTCCTTCCTTCCTTCCTTTTCACTTAAAAAAATACTTTGGAACTTCTATCTACAGAAGAAAGGTTGATTAGATACTTGAAAGGCTTATCTTGCTACAAAACAAGAGAGGGAGGGAGGGAGGGAGGGAGGGGGAGAGAGAGAGAGAGAGATACATTCCTGGTCTCACCGGATATAAGGAAATTCTCCAAGAGACAAAGCAAAGCAAACAAAAACCTTAAGCTGAAACCCAAATATTACAGCAATCCTGTAAGGGGTCTAATGTATTGTAGTTTCAGGTCAGTGGTAAAATCAAAGGCAAATCCTCTTCAAAGCAAATCATTCTTAATAAAGGATAACAAGTTTTCTACTAATTTAGAGCAAATAGTTTAGTCAAAGACTTAACACACAAGAAATTAATTCATCATGAATGAAAATCATAGAAACAATATGTAACAGATTTAGAGCCAGTAACTTCTGACACTGAAATCATAAAATAGACTATAAAATAACATAAAGACAGAATCACAATAATAAGCAAATAACACGAACTCATCAAAAACTACCAGACAGCTTTCTAAAAGAACCAAATAGAACTTTTAATAATGAAAAATAGAATTGCTAAAGGAGAAAATAATTTCCTCAATGGGTAAAGCAAGGTCCAGTTGCAGGGAGGCTTAATAAACTCAAAGACTGGCCTGAAGTCATTACCCAGAATGCAGCATGGATACAGATGGAACATATCTCTGATATACTAGAGATATAACAGAAAGAATGAGAATTCCCAACTTGCATCTAATTGGAACTCCAGAAAGAGAAGAAAACATAAAGGAGAGGAAATATGAAGAGATAATGATTGAGAATTTTCTAGAAATCTACAAATAAAGGAAACACAATGCACATCAAGCAGGATAAATATGTTTAAAAATCCCTCATAGATATATTAAGATAAATTGCAGAATACCAAAAGCAGTTTTAGAGAAAGACAAATTACCTACCAAAGAACACCATTTGGCTGAGAGAAGACTTCTTACAGAACCAATAAAAGCCAAAAAGCAATAGAATAATATCTTCCAAGTGCTAAGAGGCACTGTCAGTCTACAATTATCTAGACTAAAAGCAATTAAATAGTATAAAATAGAACTGTCTAGAATAGAAACAATTGAAACTATCTTAACCATCAACCAATCTGCACTAGGGGAACTTTCAAATATGGGGCAGAGGGTGGGGGAGTTAGGCGTTGGAGATATCGAGCAAAAAAGAAAAAAAGGACTCATGGACATGGACTACAGTGTGGTGACTGCGGGGGGCGGGGTGGGAGGTGGGTACACGGTGGTTAAATGGTAATGGAAAAAATACAATAAAAAAATTAAAAATGATACTTCAGGAATGAAGGTCTGGGATACAACAGAAATGTTAAGAGGAACTGGTAAATATATATATGTAAATCTATATAAACATTGCCTAAATAACAAATTAAATAGTAATAGCTGCTTCCTGTGGTTTAAAAGGATAAGATTAAGATACTAAACAAAAGTATCAAAAGTTCTTTGTATTTTTCAGGAGATGGGATATTAATCTTATACTTTATTAGGTATGAACAGTAAAAATTTAAAAAACAATTTTCACCACTAAAAGAATAGAAATGGTTTATCATTATAAAGCCAATAGGGAAGGTAAGAAAGGGTTGTATAAGGAAAAGAAAAGCAAGCACTTAAGAAGTAAAAGTAAAAAAATAAAGATAAAAACAACAACAAAAAGGAAAACAAGAAAAAGGGAGAACAGAACACCAAAAGAAAAAGGCCAAAAAAAATCAGTAATCAGAATAAAAGTAAATAGATTACTCTTGACAATTAAAAGGAAGATTGTATTTTTTAAAAGAATCAAAATCAGTTACTTAGTATTTATGAGGTAATAACACTTAAGACATCAGTACACAGAAAGGTTAAAAGGGATGGAAAAATATACACCAAAGTACAACCCCAAAATGGCTGGAGTAACTATATAACTCTCAGAAATGCACGAAGGACTTTATTAAAAAAAGTCTTAGTAAGGATTGCGAGGATCACTATAAGTAATCAATGATCCAATTCACTAGGAATACATAACAATTTTTAAAGTTGTATGTATGTGAAGTTGTAAAGCTGTATGTAAAGTTGTATAGTAAAATAGCCTCTAACTATATAAAAGTAGAACATACAAAGCACACATTACTCAATTTCAGGTATTAAAGAATAAATTGGCCATCACATTCAGAAATTTATCATATCTCTTTCATAAATTGATATTTAGGTCATGCAGGCAAATTAGTAAATTTACAAAATTAGTGGAGTATAGAATATTTGAACAAAAAAAAAATCAAGGTTGATTATTTGATATGTAACTCCAAACCCAACAATTAGGAAACAGATATTTCTCAAACATACAATGGTAGGTTTATAAAAACAGACCATGTAAAATTTCAAAGAAGTATTACCAAGTAAACCATACTGTCAGAACACAAGCCATTATACTGGAAGTCAATCATAAAAGATGAAGCACAACAACCACAAAGCAAGCCCAGTCACTGGGAAATTTAGTAAACAGTTTTAAATAACTCAGAGGTCAAGGAAGAAATCAAAATGAAAATTTAAGATACTTGCTGCTGAATACACATCAAAATTGTAGGTATGCACCCAAAACAGTACTTCAATATATATAAGCCTGGAATGCTTAAAAAAAGGAAAGAAAAAAGGAGGCTATAATTTCAAGAATTAAACATCTAACTTACCAAATTAGAAAAAGAACACAAAAGAAACCTAAAAAAACAAGTATGAACACGAAATCTTTTATTCGTGGTCTGTGGATTGTCGAGTTGTAATAATAATAGGCCAATGAACAGCCCTAAAGGACAGGGTGGTCAGGGGCAGGGGTCTGAGGAACAACTCAGGGCGGGTGCGGGAATTGGAAAGCGAAGGCCCATTATCGGACGAGAAGCCAGTAGAGGGAGCCAGGCACATGGGGAGTGACAATCAGTTTCGGCCAACCCCAATGTCCCTAACTAAAAAAATAAAATGCTTTTATAATCACAGCACAGAAATAGCACGTCTAGCTGAAAGTTCACCAAAATATTCTTTTAAAGTCAGACTAGCCAGATCATAGGGAGATGAAAAGATCTGAGCCCAAATTAACACAACAAGGGAGGGGAATCTGTTCAGAATGAAGTAAGCATCCTATGTGGGAACAGTTCTCTTTTTTAATCCTCTTTGTTACAACTAAAAATAAAATATCATAGCAGAAAAATACCAGTAACATCAGCCAGTAAACTTTATGGTTCCAAATATAAAATGCTCTTAAATCCCAGCAATCATATTTTAAGACGGTGTAATCAGCTGCCTGGGCCACTTTAAAGCTACCCAGAGGCAACGTGGAATACCATCCTTTACATCCATCTTCACTTAAGAGTTCTCTTGGGTCACCATCTGCTCTGATCCTCTTTCTGTGACTAAGATCCTTCATTCTGTAATCCAAACTCACAACAGAGGCCTGCCCCTAGTCCACCCTGCACCACCAGACCTGATTAACTCACAGATTACAATGAACACTAAAGGAGAGAGGGAAAAATAATATACCAACCTTGAATTATTTTCTCCTTGTTTAATCTTGTTTGTCCACTAAAGTAGAGAGGGTGGGAAAAAAAACCTTCATTACCAAATTGGGTTATATTTAAGATGAGAAAAAAATCAGCAATGAAAGGTAATGACATCCATAAAGATAGCATATGAACTTATGTAACATACTTCATAATCTAACCTGTAAAATTTATTCTAAATCAATATTTGCAATCATTTAATGTACTTAATTGGTAAGCTAGTAATTTCACACTACCCAAATTAAAATGTATAGATCACAAATCAATTTTAAGGGAATTGCAGGTGGGAAATAAATGTATATGTATATATTTCTTTTTAAATATTCTTGTTAAAGGAAGTGTGTTGACCAAAATGATTTTCACAGGCAGCAGGACCTAAACAGGAAAGTCAGTCTGTCCATTGCTGAACGGAATGAGCAAGTGAATGGAGTGGGAAAGAAGCACACAAACCTTCAGACCCCAGCCTTCTCCTAGGTCCTAGGTCTTCTCAAGCTGTTCCATTTTGTAGTGCTGACAACTATCTTGCAGACCATGCTGAAGAACTGAGGTTTGGGTAATACATTTTTAAGAATTAAAAAACCAAACCAAACCAATTTTGAAGCAACCAGAATGGTGAAAGGACTGGAAACTTTGTCACAAAGTAACAGTCAATTGAGGCTGGAGGGGGAAGAAGGCAGGGTTACTAGGACAAGACTGAATGACAGTGTAGAGCTACAGTTAAAGCCATTGTCAAATACACAAAAAGGTATCAAGGGGAATTTAGCTGAAACTTCCTTGAGCTCTTTCTACATACTATAGTGCGAGGCATTGGAGACACAGATGCTCAGTGGCTGCCCTTGCGAAAGGAACTGGCTTGTTATGTGCGGACACGGGACACAGAATTGGGCAGGGGAGACAGAAATATAAACAGGTTTCTTCAGAACAAATGTTCTCATTTGGAGTCAAATGTCTACGGCCCGTATTTATATCCTTCCAGGTCAATGAGAGGTGAAAATCTTTGAAGTAAACTTCATTGCCATATGTCATGCTCAGGAACAAAACTACTTTGGCTCTACAATCTGGGTTTAGCTCAAGTGCTTCAGTTCTTCCTCTCTCAGATGAGGATAGTAAGTCTCTATCTCAGATGACTCTTGTGATCACTCAATACAGGTAAAGTGTTTAGAATGCTGCTTAGCTTTTAGTAAGCACGCAAGAATTACAAGAGGTTTATTCGCTTGGACAGAGCTTTGTAGAAAACAAAGATTTAACTTAATGCACCTCTAATCTTTTAAAAACTGTGAAGTAAACATTACAAACAAATAAAGCCACACCCATAACCCCTCCCCCCATGTTAATAGATACTGCCACTCTCCTGGACCCTTTTCCAATCACAGCGTCCTCCCGCCTCCCGGGGATCCATTACCTGGGCATTTGAATGTTCATTTATGTGCCTATCTTCATAGCTTCCCACCCATTTAGGAAAGATTAGTTTAGCTGTTGTTGAACTTTATTATGAATTGCTTCTTACTATATGTAGTCTTCTGCGTGTTGCTTGTGTTCAACATTCTGTTAGATACGTTAAGGTTGTGGAATGTGGCTGTATTCCACAACATCAATGTTGTGGAATGAGTCATGTATTCTCATTACTGTGTAATACTCCACTGTATGGATTTACCAGACTATTTATATGGTCTGTTGGTGATAGATATTTAGAGTGTTTCCAGTTTGGGGTTATGTTGCTATGAACAAGCTTATAAACAGAGCATCAGGTTCTCTTGGGTACTGGTTCTCAAAGCGTGGTCCCTGGACCAGCATCACTGGCATTGCCTGAAAAACCTGCGGAAGATGCAAAGTCTCGGGGCCCACTGCAACACCCTGTCTCAGAGGTTGGGACCCAGAAATCTGTTTTAATAAACCCACCAAGTGATTCTGACGGACAGTTATGATCCAGAACCGCTCAAGAATAAGCAAACACCTCTTTTTTTTTTTTAAGTTTTTTTTAAAAGACTTTATTTATTTTTAGAGGGGAAGGAAGGGAGGGAAACATCAAAGTGTAGTTGCTGCTCATGCGCCCCCTACTGGGGACCTGGCCCAGGACCCAGACATGTGCCCTGACTGGGAATCCAACCAGCAACACTTTGGTTCAAAGGCCGGCACTCAACCCACTGAGCCACAACAGCCAGGACTGTAAACCAAGTTTTAATGGCATACAGCCAAACCCACTTGTTTGTATATTGTTATGGCTACTTTCACACTCTAACAATGGAGCTCAGTAGTTCAGGCAAACTGTATGGCCCCAAGAGCCTAAACTATTTACTATCTGGCCCTTTAATAAAAGTTTGCTCATCTACGCCTAGAGATATATACCTAGCACTAGAATTGCTGGGCCACAGGGTATGCAAATATTCAGCTTCACAAAGTGGTTATACCCCTTTATAGCACTCTGCAGTGTTCCCCATCCTCACCACCACTTAGTAATATGAGCTCTCAATTTGTGCCAATCTGACACATAAAATGGTTTATCTCATCATGATTTTAATTTATATTTCCCTGTTACTATGAAGTCTGGTAACTCCCCCTTTGTTTTAAATGAAGCACTGCTTTTAAAAAAAGAAAAGAAAAGAAAAAAGGAAAGGGAAAAGAAAGGAAATCTCTCATGGGACTGAGCTGCTCAGATCTGGAAAGAAACTCCAACAGATCTTAAAGACAGAATCACAAACTCAGGTCTGTCTGGACCCCTTTGTGTTATTCAGAAAAAATAGTTACCAACCTCTGCCGGGAGCAGTGGTTCTCGAAGTAGAGTGTGTATCAGAACCCCCTGGCAGGCTTATTAAAACACTGACTGCTAGATATGGCAAATATGTGCTCTTTCTTCCATACCCAACACAGGCAGCCAACTCTTTAGGTTGCCTTCCCATTCCCCACCTACCATTTCATTTAAATGCCCCAACTCCATGCTACCATTTTACCCAGCACAATTAATTTATCATCTGCATGCTAAGTAACTTTTTGTCTGTGTATCTACCTGGCTCCAGTTCCTTAAAGGCACAGCCAGACACTGTATCATCCGAATACGGAGAAAATCCTGGGAAATAACAGAACCTCAGTGAATGTACTCTGCCTATGGAGAGTCACCTGGAACTATTCATCAAAATAACCAATCCGTTTGCCCTTTGGTCCAGCAACCCTATTACTGAGCCTGCATTCATCCATATTTAAAAGAATACTTGTTATAGTATTATTTCTAATAGCAAAAGATGCTAAATAAACTACAGGTTTATTAACAGAGAACTTGTTACATTAACAAAGAAACTGTTACATCTACATAATGCAATACTATGTAACAGTGTCCCCTAAAAAGAGAGACTGAATATAAAGATAGGGAAATATCACCAACATATATCATTACGTAGAAAAAGCAAGGTGTAGATTTTTAAAATCTACCATTTTAGAAAGGAGGGAAATAAGAATAAACATTTGGATATGTACAAAGAAACACTGGAAGAATATACCAAGTACTAATAAATGTGGTCACCTATGGGGGTAAGGAGAACAGGAAGACTAGGAAGAATTGTTTTGTGTCTAAACATGTCAATTTATTCGTTTTTTTAAAAAAGTGTATGACAAGTAAATGAAATTACACAGAACTATTTACTGCTGATTTACCATTATCATCATTGTTAATATTAATGATAGATTTCTTATACTCCAAAATACACTCAGAATCTTTTGAAATGGATGTGAAAGAGTAACCACTCAGATGAATAAAGCATCCAGGGGAATGATAGGCAAACTGTCATTTCTAATACAGAAAATGGTTCTTAAACATTGGATTCACTTCCTGTCTCAGCCTCATAATCTTGCTAAGACCAAGAATGAAAGAACTGCTATTTAAACACAAGTTACATTCTCTTTAGATAGTGGCTTTGTAGCCAAATTCAATTTCCAGCAGAATTGAAAGAGGTACCCCCATCTCATATTTACTTTTATACAGGAACCTTAAAAGGTTCTGCTGACTCTATGTGGATCACAAACTCTCATTCATTTCATAAATTTTAAATTAAAGGTGAGGAAAATTTTTAAATATTGCCAATCCAGGTCTCTACAAAATTATACAAATTCAGCAGAGATGATAATTTTCTGTGTGCCTGCTGAAAAGACAGCTCAAGATTTTAATTTAATCTCAACAGGTGATTTGATAAAGGATTATATAATCAAAATGTCATCCTACCAAAACAATGGAATCTCAAGTACTTTGACAGTTTTGTAATGGAGCTGGCCCACCATCTAACATCTTTAGTGGAAGGGGAAAAAATAGCTCTGATATAATGAAGGATTTCATTTAGCTGTAAGTCAGTAAGAAACTACTGCAGACATAACAATCACTGGCGTTCTATGGATCATTTCTGCCTTCAAATCACTTTGTAAATATAGCAGAGTAGGAATCTAAAAATATAATTTCTTTCTAAAAAACATTCGTAATTATTTAGTTTTACAGTTTTTATCAGCTTTATCAAGAGGTCTATATTTAGTTTGGAGAGGGGGAACGTAGGTGGCTAAAACAGTTTTGCTATTAATCTACTTCCTTTAACGAAAGCATGGCTTGTGACAGAGGCAAAAAAGGTGAAGGGAGCTGAAAGGTCAGAGGAGTATATTTTGAAGGAGTCAGGAATAACACCGCTCATTTTCAAAATCTGCAGTGTGATCCATTTCCAAAACACAACACTCGACTCTGCAGGAATCCAAATGCTTCTGCCAAGAAGTGAAGTCTTATGACCAGACAGTTATAGGCCCTACAAATAGGCATCATTTGTTTTGTAGATTATTACACTGTTCTTCACTTAAAAAGGTATTTGACCTTGCTGTTTCTGGTTTATAGGCTATAGCATTTCTTCAGAAATCCTATAGAAAGCTTAATTTCCCAAGCATATCCTTTTAAAGAATCCAAATTCAACAGTCAAGCATGCAGTGTGCCACGAGAGAGATAAATGATGGGAAATGCGTATATATTTGAGGCAAGTTTTCAAAATAGGTATGCTTTAGCATACGTGGAAATGTAAAGGCTCACCTGATTTTTAATCATGAATACAGCTTTATCCTAATTGCTCTACACCAATTAATCCCCTTGAAAATATAGATGATTTCAAGGGTTAGTAATTCGAAGATTTTCCTTAGATATTTGGGGGGGAAAAGAATGTACTACCCAATTCATGGTATATTTTTGCTTATATATAGATTAATCCTAGGTGCAAAGGCTAGAATCAACACCACTCCTAGGAAACAAATATCACAATAACATAACAATTATATGTTACCTTTAGAAAAGTTTACAGAAGATTTAATATTTTACTTGTTTTTTAAAGACGAGAACAACAATTAGCACTCAACAAAAAGTAAGTTAAATGATGATACAGAGTGAGAAAAGCATCAGTTTTGCTATCAGTAACTTTATTAATCCATCATTTTAACTCATTAAAGTGAATTAAATTTAGTTTGTAAAAAAATTGTTAAGTTTTAAAAGCTAGTTAAAAATAGAAGTGAAATGGATTGTCTGCAAGGAATTGACTGCAAACACCTACAAATAATGTTTCAAGGGAACTAGGACCTTCAGTCTATTGCATAGGTGATGGAAATGCCAACACATACTGGTGTTTTCAACAATGCCATGCTATGAAATCATGAGAAGTTACAGTTTAATAATATTAGTAGACTTAAAGTTTGAAGTCCTGGGCATTCTATTCGAAAAATGATACACAAGGTACTTTCACTACCAAGTATATGATGAAGAAAGGTAAACACACATACAGTAACAGCATAAGATTCATAAAGGATTTGGTTAACTTAAAGAAATTGCTTTTAAAGTTTTTTTGCGTTACCTGAAGAGGCAGTGTTCAATAAAATTGTCCAACTCAAAAAATATTGATCATGCCATCAGTTTCAAGGTGTTTATCTATCTTAGAGAGTTATACGGAATTAGGTAATAGGAAACTCAAGTGCCCATTCCCAATATTATGCTAAATGATCCAATCCTGCTGATTCCAACAAGTTATTACATTTAACTATGGTGATTATCAATCAAGTTTGAAATCATTTCTTTTCCTGAAAGAATCATCACTTTTTAGCTTTGAAAATTCTGAAGGGAAAAAGAGAGAGGTTTCAGAAAGGAAAGCAGCTTACCATAATCCTGCCAATTGTTACAACTTTCATTCCACATTCCCACAAATAAAATGGAACAAAACAAACTATTCTTATAATTATTCACAATTATATTAAGAGAAATAAAAAGTAGCTTCTAAAATGTCTGGTGATATTCAAGAAATCTACAAATACTAGTCTTTACCTCAATAAAATAGGATGCAGAAGAGTACAGTGGTTAAGAGTATGGGCTATACTACAGCCTCACATTGCTTTGGTTCAAATCCCACCAAAGCCATGTGAATTTAAGCAAGTTACATGAGTTCTTGAGTCTCAGTTCCTTATCTGCAAATTGAGAAGCGATCCTTACCTCACTGGACTGTTGTCAGAACTTAATTACAACGGTGCCTAACATAATTTATTAACACATTTTTTAATTGGTTTCTATAGAAATCCTGTGAGCAGTTAATTAAAAAAACTAAGCCTTTTTTTTTTTTTTTTAAGAATCAGAGAGGGGATAAAATCCCCATTGGCATAACTATTGTTTATTAAGGATCTAAATAGGGATCACCTGATTTTTCAAGATGTGTTTTAACTCAAATTTCCTACAACTTCTGAGCTTCAACGACATGCCAGACACTGTACTGGCTGGGTCAGAGTAACCAGAAAGTGCTCTACCATTGGAAGAATCAGTCCTCTAGTTCCTGTTCTGCTACTGATTAGCTTATGAGCTTAAGTAGGTTATAAAATGGTGGTAAAGCATTCTACCAATGAAGAGGGTAGAGAAGAAGAGATAGAGAAGAATTCGACTTCTAGTTTAGTCGTTAGAATCCTGTGAATCCTAAAGGGACACTTTCAGATGATTCCCAAGATATCTTCCTGTAAAAGAAGAACAGGACAGAACAGATAGCAGTTAAAGTCGGCTTGACAAGGTTAAATCATACTCGTGCTCCTTGTGAATTCCATTAAGTCAAAAATGATATCTTATTTCTCTATGAAACCCAGTCCACTGGCACATAGACCTACTCAAAATGCTGCTCTAATAAACTACACATACAGATTTGAGGTTTAATTGCATTTTTATTAGAGCTATCTTTATAGAAAGAGAAGTTATTTAATTCTCAGATATATTTCTTCCCCACCATTGTGCTATACACTTTACCTTGCTCGCATTTAATTCTCACACTAACCCAATGAGGTAGGTACTATTATTATCCTCGTTCTATATATCAGGAAACTGAGATCCGAAAGACTGTCAGTTAGCAGAACACCAGGCTGCAAGGCTTGTAGCTGGAGCCCTGATTCTTACCGAGGTCTATCTTGCTTGAAAAAATCTGTGCTCTTAACCACCCTGAATTTCACTTCCTATTAACAGTAGGCAAATAACTGGTGAGAAGGAAAAAGATGAGACATAAAGATATGTCAGCCTTTAGCTCCGTGTAACGTTATGGTAAAAACATTAGTTTGGGGTGATGCGGTCGGCTGAGATGAGGGTGGAACCTGCTTTTTCCTCTTCCAGTAATGGAGCCTCTGGAGGGAAGAAATAAATCATAGATACATGTCTGTGGGGCTGACTGCCCTGGCAAACGAGCGGGAAACAAGGAAGAACTGTAGAGACGGAGAAAGGAGGATAGGGGAAGGCAGCCAGCATCGAAAATATCAGCCTCGGACTAGCTATTCTACAGTCTTCACAATATGCTGGGAACCAAAACGGTGCACAAAGAAATCTGGAGACAAGGTTGTCTTTCCTCAGCTGCAGCTCTGTCACCAACTGGCTGGGAACCTCGACCACTTATCCAGACCCCGCTCTCCTCATTTGCAACATGGGGCTGATGACACTAACACCTGCCTCCCTGGCTTAGCGTGGCTGATGGGAGGGAGGGAGAGGACGGCGGAGAAAGCGGAGTCGAAATGAAACGGCACGTACGAAAACATCTAGAAAATCGCCCGTCAAAGCCAATCCCCCGAGGGGTGAGCAAGCAGGGAGAAGGGATGACAGATCAACGGTCCCTTGAGCCACTCCAAAACACACTCAGTGACGAAAAGGGAAAGGCACCCTGCGACAGCAATACTCACTGTCGGACAATCATCAGAGCGAAGCGCGTCATTGCTGGCGTCTCCTCCGCCGCGCTGCTCCGCTTCTCTGCACTGCGGGTTCACCTCGCCCACACCACTTCCGCCAAACCCAGCCGGCCCGCCGGCTTCGCTGCCACAGGCCGAGGCGGCCGAGTACGTCCTCTCCGGAAGACCAATCAGAGTGGGGGGAGGCCGGCAGGTCGGAGGAGACTGGTGAGAGCTGAGGCCCCGCCCAGGGCCGTGGCGCTTGCGCCCCTGCGCGCGGGCCTGTGATTGGCGCGCGGCAGGTGCGTGCGGGACCCGCCTTGCAGTCCGCGGTGGGAGCGATTCTTGCCCGGGCAAGCTGGTATCTTGCAGGCGCAGTGCAGATAAGGGGACCAACTCACGGATTTGGGGTTGATCTGATTTGAGACTGGAATGCAGCCAAGTAATCTGACTTCGTGGGTATACAGCTCCAGACAAATTGGGTCGTATGAGGTTTAGCTGTCGAACCCTAACACGAGAGACGCAGGGTCAGCGAGGTCTGTGGACACAGACCATCCAGTTTCAGCCCCGAACTCCTCCTTGACAGGCATGCTTCTGGAGCAAACTGCAGTCAGGCTCTTTTGAGCCTCGTCTAGGCGAGCCCTCATCCCTGGCCTGATGAGCGCAGTTTTCCCAAAGAATCCTGCGAAGCCAGCTTACCAAGAATCCCCTTACCCCTTGGTATCTAACCACTCCTCTTCTTCCACTCTTGATTTCAAATCAAGCTCTTCTTCCTTTGACCCTTGCTATCTAACCAAGTTCCTCTTAGTAATTTTCCATTCTATCCCTCACCCTGGCCCCTGGCTATAAATCTGCACTGGACCCTGTTGTATCGGGAGTTGACTACGAACTCTTTCCCCGATAGCAGTAGTCTTGACCTCTACCGCGGTGGTCTTGACTAGGGTCTTCCCGCTCTCCCTGTTTTTTAAAAGGCATCTAGTGAATAAGTTTTCTTTAACAGTCGTCACGGCCTTGAGAGAGTTCCTTAACCTCTTGAACCCTCAACTGCATGATAGATAAAATGGAATAAGAGTAGCCATGACACAGGTAAAGTTTGACAGTGTTCACTTTACATTGGTAAAGCTTTACAGTGTGAACTTTACATTGTCTTCATGCATTACTTTACCTAAATTCTCATATTTAATAATGCATTTGGTTCACTGAATCCCCAGTGAAATACGAGATGGGTTTGGAGAACTTAAGTGAAGTACGGCACATGTTTCAAAATAATTTCACATTTATAGTCCCATTTGGCCCTCTGAACAACTCTGACAGGATAGGCTATATTATCTTCATTTAAAAGGTGAGAAATCTAACCGAGAGAAATAAATCAATTTGTCTAAGCTCACAGCTGGTCAGTGGTGACACAGGACTACTTCAGAGATTCTCACATCTACCTGCACATTTGAATTGTCTAGGATCTTTTGAATTCCTAGCTACATCCTAGGAAAAAAATAAATCTAAACCTCTGTGGGAGGGATCCAGGCATTAGCAATTTTTTAAATCCTCAGCTTTTTCCAATGTGTGGCTAGTTTTCAGATCTAGAAGTTTAAAGCAGTGGTTCTCAAACTTCAAGGTGCCCACAAATCACCTAGGGATCTTGTTAAAATGTTTATTCAGATTTAGTAGGTCCAGAGTGGGAGCCAAATTCAGCATCTCTAATAAGCTCACAGGGAAACAGGAGGCATTTTCAGGATGAGGGTGGAAGGATCATTCAGAGAGCCCTAACAGTGGGACCCAGGTTACCATGAGGGTGCACTGCCTGTACATAGTACATATTACATATGTATGTCCTGAATGTCTGAATGAGAGAACCAAAGGGATTTCCCTGGAAATTTAACCTACAAAAATGAAATTAATTGAGGAGTTATCTGTGAGGACTGAAGCAGAAAGAAAGCATGGAAAGAAACCACAGGACAGAGTTAGAGCTATGAGGAGCAGGTAGACTGAAGCAATGAAGAAAGAGAAACCACAAATAACACAACCTTGACAACAGATTTGTAGAAGGTAAGGACCAGCAAAGATAATGGAGGAACCAAGTAGACACACAAACAGAAGCAGATATAGTGAGTGATGGCGAGATCTCCTGTCCCTGGTCCCTCAAGATGCCATAGTACTGGATAGTAGGTTCTGGGTTTTACAATAAAATCCCTTTCTATTTAAGGTGGCCTGAGTGCATTTCTAAAGCCTAACTAAAAAGAGCTTTCCAGTTTGTCTTATTTAATAAAATAACTCTGCAAGGTATCAATTATTTCCATTTTACAGATACAGAAATTCTCAAGATCTGAGTTTGACCCTAGGTAAGTACCAAAACTATAAGTGTAAGGGTAAGTACTGGCTCTGTTTCATTATTTCCCTGGCCCCTATCAAAATATTTGAAACATAGTAAGGACTCAGTTAAAATTTGTTAAATGAATGAATTAAGAATATCTGTTATGATCAATTTGTCAAATAAATCATACACCTAAAAGTAGCAGATAAAATGGGAGAGGATTGCTTTAGGAGAAATTTAGGAAATTATAAAGCACCAATATTCATTTTAAAAAATTATCCAAGAAAATAGGTACAAAACAATGTCTTCATAAATTTTAAAAATTGGTGAGGGGGTGGATTGAGAAATGCAGATCTTCGAAAGATTTGACATTATCCTGCACTGTTTACAATGGTTCAGGGATTGTCCTTTAGCTTATAAAATAAACAGAGAGTTCATTTAAACTTCATTTACATAGAAGCTACAAATAACCACTGATACACTTTTGTTGAAAAGCTATCAAATCACATATGCGCTTTTTTAAAAAGTGGAAAATGTGCTTTGTTGTGTACCTCATACGATGGCATTCTGAATTAGTCAGGATAGGCTCAGCTACGCTGAGATAACAAATTAACCCTGAAATTTTTGTGGTTTAACACACAAAATTTTGTTCTTTCCTACTACGTGCATGACATATATCAAAAACGGGCTGTGCTCTATATAGTCACCCTGGGACTAGGTTTAACAGACACATTGATGTCAACACGTGGATTCATAATTACTGAAGAAGGAGAGAAGAATGACTGGGCATCTTGAAGCAGTTCTTAGATACTTCCTGTGTTCATTGTCCACAGCTATTCATATGTCCCTTTCTAAGTGTAAAGGTGGTGAGCAGTGTGGGGAAACAGAAAACGCTGCATGTGTTAGAATGTCCCAAGATTTTGCCTTTGGCCCTCTTCTCTCCTCAGTTACTCAGTCTCTTGACTGATCTCATCCAGCATATAGATATTATTTATATCTCCAGCCTGCACATTTCCCCCAATCTCCTCACCCATTTATTCAGTTACCTGCTCAGGATCTTCACTTGGATCTCTAGTAGATGTTTCCACCTAGCTTTGTCTGCATGGAAACTTTGATTTTTACCTCCAAAGACTGCTCACTCCTCTTCAGGTCCTTTTCATTTCAGTACATGGCAAAGCCATCTATCTATTTGCTTATGTACTCCTTGATTCTTCAACTTAATTTATTATTTCCCTTCAAATTCATCATAAATTTCTGTAGGTTCAATAATGCAGTGAGTGCTGGGATTTTACTCAGTTAAATAAAGATTTAATTATAGTCTTCACTGAAGATGAGCCAAGTGTGAAAATACTTGATCTACTTGGAATGTGGGATCTGGGAGGAGAGAGTGTGGGTTGGCATCAGTTCCTTGGGCATTTAAATACTTTCAACAATAGTGGTAAGTGTTAAATTAATTACATTGTGACCAACTCCTGGCCTGTTGGTTAATCAGAGTAAGTGAAATTTCTATTCTTGTTCATAATTTTTTTATGCTCTCCGGAGAATATGTTTATTGATTTTTAGAGAGAGAGGAAGGGAGAGAGAAAGAAAAATATCGATGTGAGAGAGAAACATCCATTGGTTGCCTCCCATATGCTCCCCAACCAGGAATTGAACCAGCATTCCTTTTGTGCACCGGGCAACTTTCCAACCAGCTGAGCCACCCAGCCAGGACTATAGTTTTTTTAACTGAAGGATCTCTTCTTATTCTGATAGTAAGACTAAAAGAGTTAAAGACTTGAATAAAGCTCCAGAATTTCAAAGATCTTTGAAGATATACATCTTTGAAATTTGCGGAAACTTCTTTTGTGAACTAGTCCATGGTTATTTTGTATAAATGTTCCATGTTTGCTTGGGAAGAATGTGATTCACTCATTATTGGGTGCAGAGTCCATATATGTCTGAATCAAGCTTATTTATTGTGGTATGCAAATCTTCATAAATAAATAAGCAAGCTAAAAAGAAAGTTTCTGTGGTCTCTATTACCAAATTTTGTCTTGAGTCCACTACTCCTTACCACATCGTACACTTTGGCTCCCTCATCTCTCGTCTGGATGACTGTGACAGCCTTTCAATGCAGCTCCACTATCCAGACATTTGTACCCTATAAACCAGTGATTTTCAACTGGTGTACTGCCAGAGTTTTTAAAACATGCACTACCTGTGAGGCAGGAGATAGTCTGGAAGGAGGAAACTCCAGAGGTGCCCCAGGGCTAAGATGAAGAACATCAATAAAGGACAGAGACCCTCTTCTAAGACTGGTAGTTCCTGCTTTCTGGAAAAACACTGAATCCTAGGGAATTAGGAATGCACCTGCGCAGAAGATGCTACCTGACTCCTGCTTCATTATAATAAATTAGCGTTGTGGCACCCCCCTTCCTGGTGGCCAATCAAGGAAATCATGGGAGACCATGTGCACAGTAATTTTAAAGTAATATAACTACTTGTACATGTGCAATAAGAGCCCGCCAAAACTAGCCGGGAGAGACCTGCCCTAAAAGAATAAAAACTCTCTAGCCCCTGAAGTCAGGCCTGTTAGGCTCTGCTCAGCTTTGCTCTGCTCTACTCAGGGTTGGCCTGCTCCCCTGTTCTGTGTGGCTTAATAAATCTGTTCTCTTTCACTTTCTGCTATAAACTGTGTGTTCAGTTCAGTTTTTTATCCATGATCACCAAGAACCTGATTACCTGTGCCCACCTGTGACACTTGACTATTTAGTCCAGGGCAGTGACCTCTTTCCCCTTAGATTGTCAAATAAAAAAATGACAACAG